ATTGCAAACCGAGCAGTGAACTCGCCAGAAACTTGGTTGCTGTTGACCCCCTGATACCCCCTGCAAAAAGTTTTTTGCTTTTAGGGGGGGCTTAGTGGAAACCCCCAAAATATTTCAACCAAAAAGATTAAAGTCCAAAGGTCCGTTGCCCAATAGCTAAGGAAAGGGGCATTTGCTTGGAACATGCGCTGGCACCTTGGCTCCAACTGCCCCAGCCAAGTTGGTAAACCTCACCCAAGGCCGGCGGGCGCAAAGCCGCTGATATCGTGACGAAAAACCAGCGAATTCATCCCCGCAACTCTCGGCAAAGGCTCTTAGATGGACCTAATGCCCCCAAAATGCTGCTTTTGGTCTGGTGGTCGTCGTTTTAACGGCCCTTGGGCTCTGACCAGATTCCGAGGGAATACTTTAAAATCAAGATGCTCTTAGGGTTTGCATTTCACTCACCAGTAGTTGGAGGGTAACTCTTTGAGGATATCTATCACTTCTCACTTGCTGAAAGGTCCTGAACATGAAAGGTTCACCTTTTGGGGCCTAGAGGGGGCAAAGGGTCGGCTTACAAGTGAGACATTTTTCAAACGTCCGAGGCTCTCGTCCACCTTGGACAGGGGCTGCAGCAAGCTAAGGTTGAACACCAGGATCGCCCGCGTGACGATCACGATGAAGGCTGTGAAGGCGGCGTTCTCGAAATCCGTGAGCTGCACTTCCATGGATCGGAACTCCGTACGCCACCCAACCTAAAACTGACACGGGGCCAACCCTGTGCCCACCGAAACGCGCGAAGCGCGCCGACACAGCCAAACAAGAGGTAACCTGTGCAGGCACTCTTACGTTCACCCAATATAATGTGCTTCACCTACCGGCAATCTTTTCAGGGGGTTGTGGGCAACATCTTGACTTGAGGGGCTCCGCTGCAACCTCCGCTTTGGCAGTCTCGTGTGTTCAAAGGGGTTCAAGCCTTCGCCTTTTCCCGTCCCCATCCCCGCCCCCCCCCCCCCCGCATCCAAAAGAAACAAATATATGAAATTTATCCAGCACGTCCCTTCACAACACCACCCTGCCCCAGGTTTGTGCCACACACACACGCCCGACTTGTTGTTGGGACCCTATCGGAAGTCAGCTATGAGGGAGTTTTTGTAAGAACTCCTTCAATGGTTCTAAGAACTTCTTGGGGTGGGGGGGGAGCTGACTGGATACCTAAAGACCACATTCTCAAAGGGACCCCGTGTCCGGCGAAGTTCTGGAAGAGAGTTCCACCCAGCACCCGGGGTTCCACTTGTTCACTACTTCTCCAAACATCCGAGGTGCATGGGGGGAGCAAGCGTGGGCCTTCATGGGCGGGGGCTTCCAGCGGACGGTTTGCCAGTTTGTCGACTGGATCGACTCGAAGTGGTCCGTGGTGCCTCAGCGAACTTGCTGCTGCGATAGGTAGGGGATGACCCGTAAGAATGAACCTAGGGTTTCCCCTCGATCCCTGCCAGTCGAACACTAGTCGAACCAGCAAGCAAAGACACCAAGTAAGGGTTACCTCATGATCCCAAGGAAAACAGGTGATGTCCTTTTGGTGTCCCTTTACACCCAACCCCCCCCAAAACAAAAACAAAAACGTGTGCACCAAAAAGTGACAGAGCCAGGTGACTAGGGTTGGTCACGGGGGATCGTGCCACTGGCATTGGGTTTGTCTTTTGTTTAGACCCCCCAAAAGTGGCGTAACGGTGTTCCGGCCAGTTTCCCTTTATCACCCACAAAGGCGGGGTACCCTAAATAAGACCCATCTTCCAGGAAGAATCTCGCCCAACCCCCTGGAGTTGTGCTGAGTGTTGAGGCGACTTTCAACTGGAGAACTTCCTAGCGATGGCTCTTCCCATTTAATCCACAAGCGCAGAACCTGCCCGAAAAATGGGGGTGCTGGCAGGGTAAAAGCCCTAAGTCTCAGCAGGGATCTTGCAAAGACCTTGCGCAAAGCTCGCCTTTGACTTGGCTGCTGTTGACCCCTCTGCGATAGGAAAAGAACTGTTTGTGAGTCCAATGGGAAATAGATCAACTCCAAAGATCCGTTACCAAATAGCCATGAAGTTCACAGTCTGCAATACCCTCAGGGCTCGAGTGAGAAACTCCTGGGACCAGAAAGTTAAAGATGAGCTAACGGTTGATACTAACTTAATGCTTTTTGAAGGGTACTTAAAAGCTACGAATTGGATGCTCAGTGGTTGACAGTAGGATGCACATCAAATGCCAACTGGGTGGCAAGCGTCGCAACTTCCGCTCGCATTTCAAGCCAGGAGCTTGCTATCGGTCCAATGGGCCTGGGTTTCCGTGCCCCCGAAAAAGCCACAAATCATCGGGTCGCAGCCCGGCCGGGGGGCGCGGCGAAAGGCGGCCGTAAAAGCGGCCCCCCACAGGGCTGTGGGGAATGGAACCCACTTCTGTGATACAGAAAGGGCTTCCCAAAGACTAGTTTCTTCACATAAAGGGGGATCCTCTATCGGAGAAACCCCGAGTGATCCCACAACCCTGCCCCTGAACTAAGAAGTGCCAAACCGAGCTCCAGAGGAGTTCCTATCCCCGCAACGGCAAACCCCGCCGCCTCGAACTGAGGCTCGTGCTTTCTCGCCGAAAACCCACGCGCGCAAATAAAACCCGAGGCGCTGTCGTCGTCCAACTCCACGTGGCCCTCAAAGATCACCAAGGGGTCCCGGGTGAAGAGGTGGGCGATGTGCCTCTCGAAGTTGTTTTCTTCCAGGTGCATCCGGGGATGTCGTGTTCTTCTTGCGATGGGGAACTTTTGAGGGGGCTGGGTTCATGAAGCTTCTTTTTTTTTTTTTGGGGGGGGGGGGCGTGAAGAAAGGCAATGAGATGTGAGGGTTTGTGGTTAAGAGTCATTCCCAAGTTGTCTACTTGAAGCCGGGCCCGCCTTGAGGGTCTGTTCTTTCCTGTTCGCAAGTCGCTTTACGATGCGGATGGGCGAAATCCGTTCGCACTACTCTGAAACCATGGAAAACCATAAGGTTTGTTGGCATTTGCAGGGGAATCCTCTTTGCAGGGTTTGACTAGATGGTGCAGAATCTGTCCATCCACAGTATGGCAAAGGATGTGAGCGACGTTGCGACTAACCAGGGGAAAGCAGAAGGCTTTGTCCTGCCACGGCTCCAAGCAAAGCATAATCTGATAAGGTCAGCAAGGAGAAGCGGAAAAACTTGCCGGCGGCTGCAGCCATCTTTAAGTTGGTCCTTCTACTCGGTTGCTTTCTGCTCCCCTGCTAAAAGTTTAACTTTTAGTGGTTTAATGGAAAACCCATTTGTTGGCAAAAAGTTCAAGTCCTAACATCCAAGCAAAATGCACCAAAGCCTACTTCCACTCTGCAATGTGAGATGAAACAGAGCAAACACAAACGCACAGGCATCGTTCAGACAATCGAGACGCGACTGTGGGAGTTGGTATGCCTATGACTCCGAGGCGGCCCCAAACCATCCGGCCGGCCGACCTGGACATTGTCTCGTCGATGCCCTCCTTGAGCAGCAAGCTCTCCATCTCCTCGTCGATTTCGCAAGGGATGTCGCTGTAGCCTTTGGAGCCCGGGTGAATGTAGGTCGATATGGAGTCCTCGTGATGGGCGCACATGCCAAGACTGATATGCTGTTCGCACGTGGAATGTTGAGCGCCCCTTCGCTAGGCCGTGCTTTGGCCTTGAGGCAAGAAGCTTAAGGTGGCTCGATACAGGCAAAACAGCACAGAGATCTGAGCAGCTTGAGCTTTCTGAAACGCAAAAGAGTGCGACAAGCCAGCTTGCCCGAAACACCTGGAAGGATCAAGCAAAATTCCAGAAATGAGGCAAACCGAACAATAACCAAGGGTGGAGGAGAAACAGCAAAAACAGCAATTCCAGAAATAACGCAGAACAAAAGCCAACGGTAAGCAAGGGTGGAGAAGGAAAGAAGAAAAAAAAGGACCAGCGCAGCATGCGGCGGAGGATCATAGCGGCTCTTGCTCTGTCTCCTGACCCCGTTGCCAGCCAAGCGGGGGTCCGGGGTCCCAGGAGCTTCCCCTCTTTCCGCGGGCGTGCGATCATCAACGGACTGGCTGATCAAGCCTCAGCTGACATAAACAAAACAAAACAAACAATCAAAAATAGGCAAACCAACGTACCCTAGGAGAGGTTCTCAAATACCCAAATGTTGTCACTGTCCTGCTTTGGGGGATCCGCCGACTCTTTCTGGTGGCGGGTTTGCAAGAAGGGGTTTTTGGGGAGCCCTGACGCTGAGAGCCTTGAAACCATGACACGCATTCTTAGTTCTGAGGAAACCTAGCTACAACTTTGCTGCAACTTAGCTATGAACCTGAATCACACGGGTCAGGGACCCGTCGCAAAACGGGAACCAACAAGACGAGAGAAGCGGCGCGCCAAGACTGAAAGAACAGCCCAGAAACAAGGCCAAACAACAACACTCGAGTGGTTTGCGAGCATTAAGCTTTGGCAACATCCCTTGGTTGCTGTTGACCTGTCTACAAAAAGTGAATCACTTCTTGTGGGTCCAATTCGGAAATCCCCTCCTGTTTCCACCCCACTGAGAATAGGTATAGTCACTCTGTTTCAAAATCGTTCAAACTGGGGGGGGGGGAAGGGGCGTTGCTTTTCTAAGCGAAGGTGAAAAGGGTGCCTTCCACCAGTCATACACGAACAACCCCGGAAATTTTCCCTTTTTCTGCCAGAGAATTCAAATAATTTCTCACTCCCCACTCCCCGCCCATGTTTCTCAAAGTTGTTCTAACTCGCCGCCCATGGCCTAACGCATCCCCGGCCGGGCAGCTCCAGCGCACATCCGTGGCCGCCAACCGGCCCTTGACGATGGGAGTGGCTGCCGTGAGGGCCATCATGATGGGCGCCAGAACGGCCAGCTGGTCGTAGAGGAACCGGGACTCGTCGATGTCGCTGGCTTGGAATGTGACCTGGCGAGCCACAGGACAGGACATTTGGGTGTGGCTCAAAGCAAAACAGAAGAGTATTACGCAGGTTTTGGTCCATGTTTCCACTTACCAGGGTTCCATTTTGGAATTCCGGTTTCTTGAGCCACAGCCAGTTGAGTCAGAATGAAAACCCGGTAGTAAAATAATCGTAAGCCCAGAACCATGTAAAGAATTGGGAAGGCGGCCGCAGCTATTCATGGTTGGGAGTCCCTTACTAGCCTTCACTTACCCGGGGTTTGATTGCGTGAACCTCGTTGAACAGAAACAAGGCTCAGCTACCACAAAGAACATTGCGAGTGCTCGAAGTAAACGGTGTACTGGGTGCAAGGGTGCTTGTTGAATGCTTGTGCGTGGCTCCCTTTGCCTACTGACTGCAACTGAGCAGTGAGGACAAGGCTCCCCACAACTTGGAAGATGTTGTGAGCAACTGTTGGGAAGTCAGTACATGTTGCCAAAAGCTTAGGCTCCCAACCAATGCTGGAAGTGCTAGGTTGAGTACATCCCGATGACCCCAAAGTGGCGAAGGACTGCCCGTGAGGCGACGGACTGATTCTGAGGTGACGCCATGCGTTGAAGGCTGAAGGGCGACGGGACTTGTGCAAGAAGCCTTGCCGCCCAATTCCATGCACGGCGACGGCTCAAGCTGGGCTCAAGCTGGACTCGCCGTGAGAGCATGACGTTGGACCAAAGGAGTCCCGGCTGTGTAGCCTTTTTGGGCCCAGAACCTAGAGGTGCTTTTGTTTTCACTGCCAGCATTGCCAGCTGCAAAGTGTTGCTTCTTTAGCCAAATGCCGACGAAGGCGTCTAAAGAAAAATTATTTGGCCAAATGCCGGTGTGCTGCTAAAGAAAGATCAATGCCAACGAAGTGGACCTCGTGCTGCCCTACTTTCAGAAAGGCAAGCGCCATACTACGCTGACCCAAAAAAGGAGTCCCAGAATCAGGGGCTCCTGGTGGTTCTGAGATTCGGTTTCACACCATCCGAAGAGAGGTACCCATGGTCCTGGCGTGGGCCTGCCCCAACCACAATGCGAATTACTCACTTGGTCAGCAATCCCATGCCCAGTTTCCCTGGCCGGAAAAAACGTCTGTAAATTCAGCCAATATCTCGAAGCACCTAGCCAACGTTTTCCCAGGTGCAACCTGTCGGATTCTTGAGTGTAAGTCGTGTGAGCCTATCCCCCTGCCACAGGGAGCACATGCTCTCCGGCTGTGAGAGCAGGGGATCGGTTGAAATGTGCGATTTGTGAACGCAGGAGGTTTGAAAAACCAAGCGATTTTATCAATTTAGCACCCACTCAATCCCTCCCCCAGATTTTTCGCTCGAGCCTGGAGGCAGCAGCATCCCATGCCAAAAGCCATGCAGTCCATGTGGACCATTGGCTTCTCTTCTGTTGCAAACTCGGGCGTCTTCTCCTCGGATGGAACTTGGGGCCATGACCCCTGGGTTGCAGCGCCCCATGGCAACCGCCCAGCCTATCCCACCCAAAGGGCCAAGTTGTCGCCTGAAGTAAGCACCAAACATACCAAACCGTTGAGTTGCCGCTGGAAACTTGGCATGCACATAGGTGTCCTCTTGGTAAAATAGATGGTGTTTCCCATATACATGGGGTAAATGGGGAACAAAACCAATCTAAACCAGTGGAAACCATCTAGTGGAAACCATCCAGTGGAAACCATGTCACTTCTACCAAACTAACCCAACAAATACACCCATGCTTTCAAAGATCGGGGCCAAAAACGGCTTTAGGCAGGCGTCTTGCCCCCCCCCCCCCCGGTGCCGAGGCTCGTCTTTGAACAGCGGCACTCGGATGTCCACTTTGCTCCCGCGCCGGCGTCGGATGTTGCCCGTGAGCGTGCCAAACCTGGCGCAGGCAGACCCGAGGAAACAAAGGCGCGGGCGTGGGGTCATTGATCTAGGTCCTCCAGTAGAGAGGATGGAACAAGGGTACCGTATTTTTCTGTAGTCTATTTTAGTAGGGGAACCTCCCCCCCGCTACTGGGCTGCCCTCAGATCCCTCGCCAAAAGTTTAACTTTTAGTGGGTCAAATGGAAACTACCAAAGGCTAAAAAGCTAATGGGGTAGCTGGGAGCCAGCAAGACTAATCAACCGCGCCAGTTTGTTAATAGGGGTGTCCCTGGTTTAGTGGGGACTGGGGAATCAGACCAATTTTGGAGGGGGATTGATATGGAGTCCTCCCACCAAAGCGCGTAACCCTAGGTACGGATGAAGGGCTACCTTTTTCGCGGTCATCAAGATCAGTAGGGCCTTTAATCTGCCACCCATGGGGTGACTTTGATAGTGGTAAAGTGGCGCGGGCCCACGTGGGCCAGCACATGCAAAGGTATGTGTAACAAATCGACCGAGCCCTCTGCGCGAACATGTTGCGTACGCCAACGCGCGTAAGCGCGGAAGTGGTTAATGGCAGAACTTACGCGAGGCTTGTGCCCAGCAACAGTTTCGAGTGCCCGGGAGCAACGCACGAAGCTCGCGACTGTTCGGCGACAAGCGCGCCGAACAGTAAAGCTGCACTTTGGCAGGGTTGTGCCACATGGCCGGCCATGTTGTTTCGCACGACTGGGCAGGACATGTGCGTATGCTCCACGCAAGCTTTGCGCAAGCCGCGCGCACGCTTTGGCTTCCGATGTGTGACCCTGTTGGGCTTCGACTAAGCTCTGGCTGAACAGTTGCAACTTTTAAGTACAAGTCGCCTATACGCAGCTTACGCACGAAATCTCGAAACAACGCGTTTAGGCACGCTTCTCAGCGGTCGTATAAGTCAGACCTGTGGCTCATGGCTCTGAATGCACGGCATTTATGCACAAGTGTCGCAAAACATTGCGCCATACGTTGGCGGACGGCAGTTCTGCGGCATCTGCAGCATCACCAAATCCGCCCACTGCAAACAGGCGGAGCGCCCAAAATCTAAGTGCTAACTTTGAGGGAGACAAGCACAAAGAGGTGGTGTCATTTGGAAGCAACTGCCCGCGCCGTGCAGAGCAGTTGCACCTTGCACAAGCCCCTTGTCCCATTGCCAGCATGAGCTACCGTGCCCCCTTTCGTGACTAGAACGACTACCTCTGCCACAAGCCGATCTGGAGTCACAGGCGTCTCCTGAGGCAGGAGAATAACAGTGGATTTCTCGACCAAAGGATCGAAAAAAGCCGGGCAGTACCATCCCAACTCGGCCGGAACAACCGATCCCTGCTCTTTGGAAAGGCACCCTGCCCTCTTCCAGAGCAATGTTCACGTCCGGGTGGCCGGAGACCGCCGGCACGAAACATAAGCGTCCTTTTTGGGAAGATAGATGGCAGTTGATTGAACAACACCTGGAACCGCCCTCGATTTTTCACCACATCAACCAAAAAGGACACCGCCCTGTCCACAAATCCTTTTGAAGCTTTGGAGCGCCCACCCACCCACCCCCACCCCACCCCGCCCGCCTGGGGTGGGGGTTGATGCAGGCGTCGGGCACGAAGTCGGACTGCGAGGCCTCGCCGCCCGGCGGCGCGGCAGGGCGCACAAAGTCTGAGACGCCCATCAGTGGGAACGTCACCAGGGTGGGGGCGATCTCGTCCTGGCGCAAGGCGCAAAGATCCGCGGAGGGGGGTGGGGTCCCCCTACCATCAGGGAATCCCAGCTCTCCAATCTTCCCCGTGCAAAGGAAATGGAACCATCAATGGAGTTCCAGGGGTCACCGGTCACCCCTCCCCCGATTCCACATTTAAGGGGGCGGGGATACGCCAAGAGCGAAAAGATGCGCATGTCACTGATACGTCCTCCAGATTTGAGAGCTTAGCATAAGGGTACCAACTTTTCTCTGTAGTCGATTTTAGTAGGGGAACTTTCCCTTAAAAAAGGTGTAAAAGGGCACGACTGGGGGACCTAGTATCCACGTGTTTTTCTTGAAAGTCTCCATGGAGGCCGCCATGGAGAAGGGTCAGGAGGACATTCGAAAGCGAGCGTGGCAAATTGAAACGCTGAGATTCAACACACCCCCGCAGAAAGCGCAAACGCCTCCCTCAGTTCTGGATAACGTTCAAGACCAGACTTTGGCGCCAGAACGAGAATACCTGCCGCAGACTTTGCGGGGTAGGCAATAACCGGCGCCAAGTACCGACCTACCCGCGAATCAGAACTCACACATGCGCTCGTCTTTTGGTGAGGGTGCCCTTTTTTTGGGCTGGTTTGCCGGGAAACCGCAAGGAAATCCGTTGTGGAGGGGCCCGACCCCCAAAAGACAAACACCAAATTTGATCATGAGCTCGCTGCCATCGAGTCTTGTGCCTTGGACCCAGCCCGTGCTGCTCCCGCTGGGGGCCCCTCCAAAATTTCAGGGGGGCCTTTTTGCCACCAAAGGCTCGAAAAATGAATCGACCCCCTAGTGAAGGACTCCTTTTTGACGGGGGTCGCCGATGTTCAAACACAGAAGTGGCAAAAAGACCCCCCTGGCCAAAATTGGCCTGACTCCCCCCGAAGGAGTAAGAAACTCAAAATGGGATCCCCCTTCCACCCGCCAACGTGGTGCGCAGCTTTCCCCCTTCCAGGTCCAGTGGAGAGGCCAGAATAGGGGTACCAACTTTTTCTGTTAGTCTATTTTAAACCCTCCCTCCAAAAAAATGTAAAAGTTTACGGTAAAAGGGCACCTAGATGGGGGATCTAGAAGGGAAACCCACACCAAACCCGTAAGTCTTGGGGTATCGAAGCCTGCCTTAAGAAGGGCATAGGTGTGCTTTTAGGGCAAATAGATAGCCCTGGTAGATGATTAAACCACCAGGTAAACCAGTCATTTTTCTACCAAGACAACCAAAATCACACCGCCCTGGGCACAAATCCCCTTTGGAGCGTTGAAGCCGCCTGGGCACAAAAATGGTAAAAAGGGCGCCTAGCTGGACCTTCCGGTGAAGACGGGCTTCGTGTGGGTCCTGCTTCAGCGCAGAGAGCAGCCGGCCCCGCCGCAGCCGCATGTTCTGCTCGACGGAGGCCAGGCTCATGGTGTAGCCCCCGTAGGGCAGGGACGGGGTGCCTGGCCCGTGACCCACCAGAAAAGGGGCTAGAACGATTTCTATTAGACCCCTAAGCGTGCCAAACCTGAAACGAAGGCGCGGGTGTGGGGTCGTTGATCTAGGTCCTCCAGATTTGGGAGGTTTGAATAAGGGTGCCAACTGGTTTTTCTGTAGTCTTTGTTAGTAGGGGAACCCTCCCGCAAAAAAGGGATGGAAAATGGAATCGGCCTGAAACAAGGTCAAGAATTCGAGGCATGGAGTTGACCTGAAGAAAAACTCGGGGGAATGGCCGAAAAAGGCAAAGTCAAGACTTCAAGGGACGGAGTTGGCCAGGAACCAAGGAACCAGGTGGCAAAATGAGGCAGGCGCACAAGCTGCACCATTGGAGGCTGGGGAATGGGTTGGAATTGGCTTGAAGGAAACAGGGGGGAATGAGGCTTTCCTCACTTGCCCAAAGGACCCAGAAATAAAAGGTTATGACAAAAAACTAGACCAAAAAGGAGAAACCAAAAGGTCAAAATCGGCCATCAACTGGCCGGCGCTTCATAGGGTTTGGCTTCATCTGCCGCGCGTGCTTCGCCTTGCTTCGCCTTGCTTTGCCTTGCTTCGCCTTGCCTTGCTACGCGCGAGATCTCAAAGCTGACAGTGGCAAATGGGCAGATTGATGAAGTGTGTTCCTTGAATTCGGGGTGGGAGGATGAACTCACCATACCTTCAAACTTGATTATATACACAAGTGTGTTGTTTGAGTTCCATGGTTCAAATTGTGAGTATAGGCCACCAATCCCAAATGCACATTGTGTTAAACAACGATTGAGGATATTGATTTGATCGCCCTTGATATGCCTTGATGCACAAAAAAAACAGGTTTGCGCCAATGTCAATCTAAGTCGTACTGCTTTCATAGATGACAGCCCCCTACCAGCCGCAGAAGCGGCGCCCTCCGCGGGCTGGTAGGGATGGAGGGAACCCGCGGGAACCGGCAAGCGGGAACCCGCGGGAAGGCCTTCGAGCATCCAGCTGCCATACTCCTGGTGCCAAGTGCAGCCCCTGAAGGCGTGGATGTCCTGCTCCGAGCCCCTCAAAGACTCCATCGCCTCTGGGCCCCGCAGGCTCAGGAACACTCTCCTCAGCCGGGAGGAAACCACAAAAAACAAACGAAAGGCTGAGATCTTGGGAAAAAAAAGGGGGAACCAAAAACGACAGGTGGCAGGGGCTTGATGTCAGTTCCCTTTTCAAGCTGAGAAAATATGTCGCGCTGCCCACTTTTTGTGCTTCCAACCCTGGAAGCTTCGGCTCGGACACTTTTCGAAGGGAGAAGCAACCTAGAAGCTCAACCCAAACCTGGCCTGCCTTCAGTTTGACTTGGCTTGAGGGAACGCATAGGTTGCGCCAAACAACCCTGGCATGTCAGGTTTGGCATGGCAGAGCTCCTTGTCCCCTGGAAGGCATTGGTTTCTGCCGCACGCAGGAACACCAGCCCCGAAAGAGAAATACCACATGGTACCAATGGAAGGATTGGGTTGAGATGTGACTGTATGACGTGCTGCCAACAATGGCAACACCGCTTTTGAGGCTCGAACTAGCAAAGTGCCACAACAAAGCCATTTGTCTCTTCTGACCCAGAGGCCCGGTCGCCCGACCCCCACGAAGAGGACACCCTAAAGTCAGCCCAACTGATATGAGAAAATGCTGTGGATGGACAAAATCCTACACCAACTTGAAACCAATTATTGTTTGTCGGTATTTTTTTCTGGTATTTACGTTGGGGAATCGAATTCCAGGGCTTGTTCGGTGGCAGAAGCCCACTGAAAGAAACCGGGCAAGGAGAAGCTTCTTGCCACTCTTCTCCACCTGAGGGCTCAGCTTGCATGTCACAAGTTGGCGACTGGCGCCGAACCGTCGCAGCCAAACAAGAAACCGCAAAGTGAGGAGAGGAACATCGTGCAAAAGGCGGATCTTTACCGATGAAACGGCTCCAATCTTGCATCGTGAAGTCTGGAACATCATCCGCCCATGCAACAGGACCCTCTGTACGACATGGACGCTGCACAATGACTGCCAAGGAGAGAGGGAGAAAAAAAAAGGTTGGCAACTCCACCTTCAGCAAGGAGTACTCGATCTCATCCCCATAGAAGAGGCGGTCATTCTCCAAGTGCCGCAGGCGCCGGAAGGTGGCGATGAACTGCAGGACGCCATGGTGACGAACATAGTTGCAGTGCTCCAGCGAGTCCTGCGGAAAAAACCATCATCCTACTGCACTTTCTTTGACGAATCCACCGGGCGCTTTCCGAAGGAAACCCTAAGGCCAACATGCCAAACCCTGGACATGGAGCCGCAAGGAGCATTTTGGACGCCAAGTGATCCGGACTTTCCGACGCAGTGCCATGGTCGGGCTCCCTTTTGTGTTGGAGAGCAGCGACCGTTCAACGTGAGGTGATGCCATTTCAGGCGACACCTTCGGCAAGAAGAGTGCAAGGCTCAGAAAAAGAAAACATATTTTGAATTCTCGCTCTGCTTTGCCTGTGTCGACCAGGCGCAAACAGACACACAAAAACGCTGAACTGGCATATGTCAACGCATAGGGGTCATAAGAGCCAAGCAGTCAGATAAAGAACATTAAAGAACCGTGAAACTGCTTGCTGCTTCACAGTACCAGGTGTCCCTAAACCTCCGCGATGGATTGGATGAGTGGCCCATCTTGCCCGCTTCGAAGGAACGGCTCAGAGCACTCCGCCGTATTCCTGGCTCAGAGCGTGGCCTTCATTTCCTTCATGAAGAGCTCCATCGCCTGTCCAAGTTGGGAGGAAAAAACAGCTGCCGAAACCAAATCCCACAAACCAAATCGCAGACCTCCATTTGCTCAAGTCCTCTCCAACAATAAACGCATTTCCAATAGTGGAGGTTCCCTTTAAAACCAAGAGAAAATAACACACACTCTGACCCGCAAACCGAATCGCAAAACCTTCCTTCCAATTCCCAGAAACCGACCAAAGCCCCCCCCCCCCCCCGCGGACCTTTTCTCTTTCTGATTCGACTCCGAAACGTCGTCTGAGTCACAATCAAAACCCGGTATTAACATGGTCGTAAGCCCAGAACCATGCTTCAAGAATTAAGAAGGCGGCTATCCGCAGCTACTTCTGGCTGGGAGGCGGATATCCGCTGCTATTTCTGGCAAGGGGATTGTCCCTTACTACTCACTGGCTGAGTGGATGGCCCCAAAAAAGTCAAAACTTTATATTTACCATTAAAATAGTCTTCCCAAAAAGGAAAAAGTTCATGAACTTAGGAAGTAAGACTAACCGAATCATCTACCCGAATCGGTTTTGAGGACGCTCTCCTGGTTTGGGTCCGTGGGCAGCTCCTGAGCATTGACGGCCTTGACGCTCCAGCCGGGCTCCACCGGCAGACCCTTGGCCCGGACACAGCCCTCGTCCAGAATCCCCGACACCACAAAGGGCACCTCCCGCTGCCTGAACTTGAAGCCTAAGGGCTTCTCTGTGAAGTACACCACCACCTGCTACTGGGAGAAGCTGGGCTTTTCACAACTTTGCTTGGGAAAGGGAATGAGAAAAACCACTCATTTTGCCTGGCCTTGCTGCTGTTTGGCCTTTGGCACGCGCCTCCTCGTTCTTCGCATTCAGGAAGGTGACGCCGAAGCCTGCCGGCTTTGGCTCAGTGGCGGCCGGCTCGGGCGCGGGCTCGGGCGTGGCACTCTCGGCCGCCGGCGGCGCCGGCATCTCCGGCGCGACGGGCGGAATCTGCAGCACATCCTGCGGGCGGTCGTCACCGGAGCAGCAATTCACCTGACCCATCGAAGGGAATGCGATGTAGGCGAGATGAGGCGAGATGAGGCGAGGTGTGGAACTTGAGCCGGTGGGTCTGCAAGCAGCGGCTGTCTCATGTCTCATCAATTTCCTCTCTCTCTCTCTCTCGCTCTCGCTTCTGAGCAGCCTACTCTGGATGCTGGGGGGGGGGGGGATAAGACTTAAGAGTCCAGCGATTTCATCCTTCTCCCCATGGGGTCGGTATCAACCGGTCCTTCCAATGGAGCGGCGTCCCCACCTTCAGCAGCCCCATCGGGTCACCGCTCGGCTGCTGCTTTGGAGCCCGTCAGCTTCGGGGCCGGAACAAAAACGCATCGAAATTCCGGCAACCAAATGATCGATTGCTGTCCACCCCGCTACGAAAAGCCTAACTTGTTGTGGGTCTAATGGAAATTCCAACGATGTTCAATGGACAATTTCTCCCAATATTTGCCCAAGAAGTTAAAGCCCAAAGATCCAGCCAAATAGCAAGAAAGAAATGGCACCCGAGGTGCTCCGAATTTGCAATCAGCGGAAGGCCGCTAGAAAGGGAAAACGCATGGCATGAGGATCAAGGCTCGGGTTTCGAAAACACCCCCGACAATCCAGAGTGTCAGCAGGTTTTAATGAACGCCGAAAAGATCTGGCTTCAGAGAAGGAGGGAATGAGGGAATGCGGTTCCATGGATTTGTTTCGAGGGAATGGGGTTTCCAAGAACGCCGAGATTTCAAGATGCCAAGGAGATGATGCTCCACTCCTCTTCCAAATATCCTTACTGGTGCTCAGGGAATGAGGGGATGAGAAATGGCAAACTGGTGGTTTCCTTTCTCCGGGGGCCAAAGCAACTCAGTTCATTCCATTTCTCCTTCCCCGATTTTGCTCCGATCGCACGTACCTCACCGCGCTGCCGGGCGCCCGGGCATGAAACTCGCTTCTCTGCGCGAGGCCAGGCGGCAATTGTGGCACCTCGGGCGTGGAAAACCCCTTCCCCCTAACAAAGGTCCCCCTTAAGAAAACAAAAGCACCAGCACCCTGCGAGAATGGTCCGTTTGTACCTGCGGTGCTCTTGTGTGAGCCATTTTCAGTACAAATGGACCACCCTTGGAGGGTGCTGGCAGTTGTGTTTGTCCAAAACACCCAGGAGGCCAACACTAAAACTGGAAACCAGTAAAACTACAGTTGCTTCTCCATCTGTTTCAAACACTTGGGTGGTGTTTCAACATTAGGGCCGAGGCACAACCAATTTCGACAAAAGGACAAGCGCAATGAGAAAATGAAGTTCAATGGCTAAAAACACCCCCCTCCCCCAACTCCATGTTGAGAAGTGGGCGGTTTGACATTCAAAGGTCTCATGTCAAAGACTCTTGTGCCCTTGCAGCGCTGCAGGACTTGCCCCACTACATCACCTGGCACGGGGGCTAACTCAAGAGGAATTCGGGCGTCTTTTTAAGGAATCGGACCCCACTTTCCTCGTGAAACCGTAAAAGACAGCAACAGGTACGCTCGAAAAATCCGACACGCCCATTTGATCAGAGGTAAGCTTCCGCGGGTCTCGCATGACTGGGGAAAGTGAGAGGCTTGCTGTCATTTCTTGGCTGGAGCTAGGACCCCGGCAAAAAGTGTTATTTTTTGGAACTCTTTCTGGGGAAGATTTTTGTCAATTGTCCTGGTGCTCTTCAGCTTGACTCTGAGCCAAAAACTGAGTTTCCCAGCCGGCCGGTGAGTTGAACCGGGGCTTACTTCGAAGTGTGGTCAAAGTACCTTAGCCGCTTATCTTCGCTTCTGGATGCTTGGTTTATCCTTGGCTTTCCTCTGTTGACGGGGAACTTTCACCATTCGCCCAGTGTCTCTTTCTCAGGGCGCCGCTCTGCTTTGAGTGGAACCCGCGGCATTTCTCGCGGCGCTGCTTTGAGCCAAAGGTGCCGAAAGAGCCGCGGCCAGGAACACCTGACTGCGATTCTGTTGGGCATGATCTTTTGGCAGAACCATTTAAATATAGGGGATCCTGCCTAGAAGTCTTGTAAGGAAGCTTGGGGAATTCAAGGCTTCAGGATGTCCAAAATCATGCTCAGTGGCCCATTCGCAAGCCAAAAACTATTTCGAGCGTGAGGCCCCCAAACTCATTCATGAATCCAAGAAACCACCAACCAGCGCAATGTTGCTCAATGGAACGTGCAGGTACAATTAAAGCAAGGACTCGGACCCTGAAACATTGATGGCTGGCCGCCAATGTCGCAAGAGGGGACGCAGGCGCCCGAGCACATGCGCACGCATATATATATATATATGGTCGCGTGTTCCCTTGCTAACCCCCCCCCCCCCCCAATATGGTATGGGTCCCCCAGGACCCCCCCCCCCCGCGGCCCGAGACCCCGAGCCCCCAGATCCTGGCACCTACAGTCCCACCCCCACCCCGACCCCCTGAACTCGCACCCCGACACCCCGGCACCCCCACCACAAGCCAACCCGCAACCAACCATAAACCAACCCTAAACTAACCCTAAACCAACCCTAAATACACCCCACACCAAACCCTAAACCGTAGACCTCTAAACCTAAACCAACCCTAAATCAACATAAACCAACCCTAAACAAATCAAATACACCCTAAAGCAATCCCTAAACAATAAACCCTAAACCTAAACCAACCCTAAACCAACCCTAAACTAACCCTAAACCAACCCTAAACCAACCCTAAATACACCCTAAACCAAACCCTAAGCCAAACCCTAAACCGTACACCTCTAAACCTAAACGAACCCTAAATCAACATAAACCAACCCTAAACCAACCCTAAACCAACCCTAAACTAACCCTAAATACACCCTGTCTGACCCATGACCATTGGTGGGGGGGGGGCTGGCAACGCTGTACCATATATATATATATATATAACATACCTACATCATCCGCAAAACAGGGAATCCCATGCATTTGGGTGTCTCTCATAAAAATGAGGGGCCCCTTCCTTTTGGTGGGTGGCTTCCAATTCTGGTTTCCTCCAACCATCCCCGTTTTGGCTTAAAGCCGCACCTAAACAAACCAAAAACAAAAAAGAACGAGCCTCGAGAAGTCACCCGCCCAGGCCCGTCCGTGCGGTAAAACCATGACAGCTCTGCCAAGTCCGCACCCTTCCCTGGCCAGCTCTGCGCGGGAAAAACGCCAACCATTCATCCAACCAGCCAGCCATCCAGCTATCCATTTTGAGGGCAGTGCTGGGATTCGTGTGGGCTCCCGGATGAATGATCGCATTCAAACATTCAAATGATTTGGGAGTCGACTCAGTCTACTACGCGGTCGGCTTTGCACAAAGTCGATGCAAAGGATTTGCCGGATGCTTTCCTGGAAAAATGAGAAAATATGTACAGTCCCTTTTAAACCAACAGGGGAAAGAAAAAGGTTTTCGCTTCAGCAACTGGAAGCCTTTCTTAGTTGGTACCGTCCCTCTACTGTTGCATTTCTGCTCACGGCAAAGGACCGGACAACTCAACAACCCAAAACGGGCGGTATCCCCCAAGTTTGCGAGAAACCTCTGGCAGCAAGTAACAACACACCGGCATGCCAATGTTCATCTCAGAGCTGCCCAATCATAGGTGTCCTTCTGGAAAAATCGATGGGTCTCGTAGGAAGAAAACCCCTTTTAAACTAGTGCCTTCTATTTTTAACCAAACTAACCTTCCCCCCCCCCAAAAAAAAACAAAAAAAGAAACAAACATGACCCCAAGAGACACCTCGGCACGGCGCCCGCGCCTTTCCCCTTGTTGGCCGCCTTTGGTGCGGCCATGGCCATGGAGTAGCCGGCGCCTGGGGCGGATGGGGCGGATGGGTCGGATGGGTGTTTTTTGTTGGCAGACCCCGGTGAAAAATGGGAAGCCAAACAAAGTGAACACAGGCGAAGGTGAACCCAGAACCATGTGCAGGATTAAGAACTCCGCAGCTATTTCTGGCTGGGATCGTCCCTTACTAACCTTCATCTACCCAGGTTTTGATTGTGGCTCACATGCCAACAGTCAAGCCACATCATGCTGAATCTTGTCAATTTCACCCGAGCTCGAATGCAACTTGCAGGGTCTGTGGGATGGAAGCCCCGTGCCCCAAACCCAGTGCCTCCCATCGGCATGACTGACCTCATCGGGACGGCCATCGGCGGACCGGGCCTGCGCCGCAGGGGGTGCAGCCCAAGCCATGATTGGAATTCGGCCCCTCGACATCCCTCAACACATTGCATCCCACAGGAGGGTGCTCGGCATCAACGACACTGCAAGAACTGGCGCACCCCCCCTGCAATCACACAAGCAAACAAGCAAACAACCAAACAAACAGAAACAAAGAAGCAAAGAAGCAACGACACAAAGAAATAAAGAAAGAAAGAAATAAAGAAAGAAGGAAAGACAGACAGACCAAACAGACAGACAAACAGACAGACGGACAGACAGACAGAAACAAAGAAAGAAACAACAAACACGAAAACAAGCACACAGTAAGCAAGCAAGCAAGCAAGCAAGCCAGCAAGCCAGCAAGCCAGCAAGCCAGCAAGCCAGCAAGCCAGCAAGCCAGCAAGCCAGCAAGCAAGCAAGCAAGCAAGCAAAGAAACAAACAAGCAAACAAACAAACCAAACCAAACCAAGCCAAACCAAGCCAAGCCAAACCAAGCCAAACCAACAAACAAACAAACAAACAAACAAATTAAACCAAACCAAACCAAACCAAGCCGAACCAGCAAACCAACAAACCAACAAACAAGCAAGCAAACAAACAAACAAGCAAACAAGTAAAACAAAACAAAACAACAAGCAAACAAACGAACAAACAAACAACCAACCAACCACAACACACACACACAAGCACAAGCAAGCAAGCAAGCAAGCAAGCAAGCAAGCAAGCAAGCAAGCAAGCAAGCAAGCAAGCAAGCAAGCAAGCAAGCAAGCAAGCAAGCAAGCAAGCAAGCAAGCAAGCAAGCAAGCAAGCAAGCAAGCAAGCAAGCAACATATATATATATATTTTTTTCGCAGGGGCCTACCTGCTTGAAGAATTCATGCACTGTATTTGCAGTGTGTGTCCTGTCTTTTTTGAAGCCTTCGGGAAAGCAGTGAAACATGTGCATTTCCAAGAACATTCTGGAAGATTTGGGCACGCTTCAATTGTCAATCGGTTTCAATTGAGGCCCAGATTCAAGATTCCAGGCCAAACTTTTCCAGAGAATCTTGAATCCAAGCACAGATTTAAATGTCAATATCCTTCTCAATCTAGGCCCAAATTCAAGACTCAAGACTCAAGAGTGCAGGCCAAACTCTTCCAGGGGTTCTTGAATCTTGAATCTTGAACCCGGCCCGATTAACATTTTAAATCGGTTTCAATCGAGGCCCAAATTCAAGATTCCATGGGAAACTTGCCTAGGGAATCTAGAATCTAGAATCCAGGCCTTAATTGTCCCTCACTATTCCCTAGCATGTCCTTCTCCCACATTCCCGAAGTATTTCCTCAATATTCCCCCTCGTATTCTCTCAGTATTCACCTGAGTACTCCCTAGTATTCCCTAGTATTCCCTTGGCCCCTGAGTATTCTTCTGGTATATCTGCACCATGTGAAAACGATAGGTCAAGGTCAAATTCTGGGGGAGAGAATCCAGTGAAGCAATTCTTAGCATTTTTTGGTGTACCCCCAGCTTAAGTTTGAGTATTTTTCTAGTGTTCTCTCTCTCTCTCTCTCTCTCTTCTTATTTATGTCTACATATAAATATGTGTGTGTTGTGTGTGATGTATTTCAAAATTGCTCAACTTGTTGAGCAGCGTTTCGCTAGCATGCGTCATCGCTTGGCCAGCCTTCTTTGACCAACCCTTTACGGAGAGCACCTTGCAAAGAGGCAGCCTTGCAAGCGCGGCCTGAGACCGCGCTAATGCGATTGCGGGCTTGCTTTTTCTACACAGGCGCATGGCACAGGTGAAGTCAAGCTCCTTTGCCTCATTGATCTGGGCGTGAGTCAAAAGCCAAATCGTACCCCCAGTGTCATCCCCCTCCAACCACTGAAATAGGTTCTAAGATGGGTGGTGAATTCACCTACCCCAAAATGGGATCCTGTTGGTTTTGACCTACAGCCATCTCACAAAGAGTTTAACAGCCCTCGGCACCTCACAGCCATCGCCCACAAAAAACTGCCATGTCTCTCGTCTGCACGCCTGTAGCCATAGGCGCCACCTGCGCTACCTGCCTGAGTCGAGCGAGTTGCTGGGGCCCGCCGTGCCTGCTCCCAAGCAACTCCCTTCCAGAGCTGAGGTCCTGTAGCTGTGGCTTTGCACCCTTGGTTGAGTTGCCTTGCTCCAGCTTTTTGTTCATGAAAACCAAGCCCGGAAAGTTGCAACGTGCTTTCGCAGGCTCAACCTCAGGTGCGCTCCTTTGGAGAGATGGGGGGGGTGACACCCAAGAAGTGGAGAAAGAGGCCAGCCGTGCCAAGGGAGGCATATCAAAAATTCGGCCTCCGGGGCTTGCGGATAGACCCATGGGGCCTTAATGCAAGACTGACATCTCTACTCTTGGTATGGTAGCAAAAAACTTTGTTTTTTGCAGACCCCCAGCAAAAATGAGCAGAACCAAAAAACTAAAAAACTAAACAACCATGCCAAGAACAGTGAAGCTGAGCAAAGACCTTTAGGCAACCACTTAACCACTTGGACTCCAGGGGCTGCATTTCCAGCAGACCAAGCTCCAAATCTCCAACCCAAACCGCTGGCTGCTTCAGCAGGGGGAAAAACCCCGGGGTTTTTGATGGTTTTCTAGAAAGATTCGGACCTCTGGAAAGAATGGAAATGGAAGTTACCCCGCCCCCTCTGCCCACAGCGGCCTTGGGGTGGAAGCCCCGCGCCACTGTGGCACACACGTAGTTGGACCTAGGGCCCGGGAGTTTTCGAAAGATCTCTGGCAGAGGGATGCAGGGAATGAGAAAGGGAGTGGACCCTGGAAAGCCCCTCCAGCTTCTGGTTTCCTTTAAGGGAGTCTGGGCCTTTTGCTCTTTCAAGGGGTCCCATTTTTGTTTTTCACCTTCCACGGAAACCCTTTTTCGGGGGGTACCCATGTTTTTCACCTTGGGAAACCAAGAAGCAAAACAGCAAAACAGCCCGGAAGAAAAGCCCGGCAAGTCTCTGACGCACATCTTCGCATCTTTAAGCGGCATCTCACCCCCCGTACGTGGCACCTGACCTCTTCCGATCCAAACTGCTGACACGTTGGATGCCGTTCGAAGGCTTCATAGACTAGGTCCTCCAGTAGAGAGGTTAGAATACGGGCACCTTTTTTCTATAGCCTTTTTTAGTAGAGGACTCCTCCCCCAAAAGAAGAACCGGTCAAAGGGCACCTGGCCAGGGGACCTAGAGATGGCGCCTGCGAAAAACGAGAAGACAACGAGAGCTCAGCCGCGCGCAGGTCGCGGATCACGCCTTTCTTCCCGGCGACCTGGTCCGCAGAGAGCCGCTGAGAGCGCCATAAAAATGAGGCCTTTGGCCAGGTGACATGTGTGGTGAGTGCCTGATCGCTTGAGGACTTGGTACCTGGGGGTTGGTCCCAAAAGAGCTCTTCCCCAAAATGACCATGAATAATTGGCCACTTGGTGGGACATACTGTGGATGGACGCGAAATCCGTTCGCACCACTCTAAAACCATGGTTGAAACCATTGTCCTTGGTCTTTACAGGGGAATCCTTCTTCTCGGGTTTCCTAGGTGGTGCAGGATTTCGTCCTTTCACAGTACATGACTTGGTGTGTTATGGAAAGGACATGGCGTCCTTTCTTTTGGTCAGCCGATTTCCCGGCAAAAACAAAGCCACCAAGCCACCAACGAGGCCAGGAAGCCATAGCTCATGGAGGTTCCGAGCGTGGCGTCACGGCGTCACGGCGTGGCGTGGGCCAAGGTCGGCGGTTTTTTTTCCCGCTGCAACTCCCCAACCGACTTCTCCCGCGAAAGCCAACACCTCAAGCAAAACCTCGAGCGAACCAGTGAGGCCAAACCTCACATAAACTGCATGCACTTGAGGCACTGGCCAATTTGCACCAAACTGGAACAGCAACCCCCAAGGTAATTGAAACAATGGCCCATGTCTAAGTTCCACTGGCACAAGCCACTAGCCTCTGCCGAAAGGTCCTAAGATGTCCTAAGTGGTCATTGCTCAAATGCCGTCGGGCTCTACCATCATCTTCTGGTACTCCATGTGCTCGTCCTCGTTCTCCCTTGCTGTGGCCGCTGAAGCGCCCTGCAACGTCTTGCCGCAGATCAGCAAAAAGGGGCCCAGCGTGAGGAAGGAGAGGCCGCAGGCCTTCATCAACAACCTTGGCACCAATCGGAACGGCCAAATGTGGACTGTCTGGTTTGCAGGACTCCTGGTAGCTCCCAAAGGCTACCTCTTGAAAACAAGGAATTTGGATGCAACAAGCAAACCCAAACGTGTGCTCATGCATGCACGAGCTAAATCTGGCAAGGCAACAGCCGCGGCAGGTGTGGCAGTTCCTCAAAATGCCCCACGTAGGCCGCCCAAAAGCCGCCAGAGCCATCCTCAGGGACCGTTTGCGCATTGGCGAACTCACCTGCGCAAGCACGACCTGGAAATTTCACTTAGTTGCTGCAACGACCCCTCTGCAAAATTTGTGAATCACTTCCTGTGGGTCCAATTCGGACAATCCCACCTGTTTCAACCACAAAGCTAAAGTCCAAAGATCCGTTACCAAATAGCCAAAAGCAAAAGGTGGTCATCTTTTAAGGGGCCTTGAGTAAATGTGTGACCCGACGTTGGAAACCGAAACGGCGAAAAGGTTGACCCGCTTTGGGCAACTGTCATCCGATCCTCTGAGTGCCATCTGTCATAGGTACAAATTGTTCAATGGGTCACAATGGTTCATCACCAAAAATTGGACCGCAGGTTTTACAACCCATTTTGGGGTTGCAGTTACCCTTCCTCTCACTAAGGTAGCATTTGTGGGAGGACACCTAGACCAATTTCCTCTTTAAGGGACCCTCTGTCTTGGTTGATGTTGGAAGGGGAGCAAAAATTGAAATCTTGGCAGTTAAGTGGGGATTCCCTACTAAACCACAATTAGAAAAATGTTTCCCAACGACGGAGGGCACCCTATGTTTGACCACCCATTTTGTTCCGAGATCCACACTTCGTCCTTGGCAAAGGCGCAGTCGAACTTCTCACCCTTCAGCTTGGGCACCAGATGGCTGCAGCTGTCCTTCAGGTATTCCCAGACCATGCCTCGGTGGCTTGCGAAGCCCTGCGAAAAGTGACCAATCTTTTGGCGGTTTAATGGGGAAAATTCCTTAAAGTTGGCAAAGAAAATATTCAGTCTCCCTTGCTACAAGTGACTCACTTTTCGTGGCTTGATGGGGAAAATCCACTAGTTGGCAAAAATATATATTCAGTCCTAAGATCCAAACAAAATGCAACAAAGATGCCCTGCCAGTAGGTGAAGTGGAGGATCGTACTGCCCTTCACCTCTGTGTCCTCACCTGCGCAGGATTGATGGATCGATCTGCCCTCTGGCAAACCGGAACGCATGCACCCAATCAGCAGAACTCGGCCTGGAGCAGCCATACACTCCGCAAACGAAACACCTCACTGGCTGGGTGATCCATCAGCTGAGAAAAGATGACATTGCTAATATCTTTCTGCTCAAATCGAACCCCCCCCCCCGCCCAAACACAAAGAAATGCTTCCCCAGCGGCAGTGGCCTAACACACAACCCAAGCAAAGCCACCTCCGAATCGCCCCGGACCCCCGTGCGGGACCTACTGTGGATGGACGAAATCCTGCACCGCCTCAGAAAGCCTGGAATCATGATTCCCCTGCAAATATCAACGACCAATGGTTTCCCATGACTTCAAAGTGCAAGTTTTCGTCCATCCGCAGTATGCACCCTTATGAACCCGGCCTTCCAAATCCCCCCACTCCGTCACTCCGTCAAATCCCCCCCACCACCCCAGCCCGGACACCCCCCCAAAAAAAAAAAACACAACTCCATGACCCTGGCCTTCCGCTTTCAGTTGCACCTGGCAGGGCACGTCCGTCCAGGAGGGCCCCGTCATCGGGAAGCTCCAGCCCATCTTCAGAGGCCACACCGGCCGCGTGAACTCCTCGCTCGTGAGCTCGCAGGTGCCGTCGATGAGGTGCAAGCCCAGGTCGGTGGCTGCAACCTGGACGCGGCGTAAAGCTGAGACTCTAATGCTGACCCCGGATTAATATACCCCTGGTGATTATTATGGGGGTGTTCCCTCCAAAAGTGATAAATCCCCACTATAACCAGGGACACCCCCCATATTCATAAACCAGGGGTTTACCAATCCGGGGTCAGCATTAATCCCTCTGGTCTGTGCGTTGATCTTCTCCGGCCAGAAGAGCGATTTACATCATGCATTCTTAGGCGCTGCGCAATCCGCGTTTGCCTTTGTTTACAAAGCGTGATCTGTTGCAAGCGTTGACCAGCAATCAGCGCGCACGACGCATTCCGCTCATTCTCCAAACACTTCTGATCAGCGCAAGAACGTGCCCTACACCTGATCTGCGCATTGAAGGCGTCGTTGCTAGCCCCGCCCTCGTTGCCATGTTTCCTCTCAAACCATGGCAATGCATGTCCTGCGTGCTCAGAGCCCATGATATATTCCATAGACTAGACGTAACAAGTCTCTACGTATTGAGCCTTCATCTTGGATAACCCCGGTGTTCACCTCCGGGTGAGTCTGCGATTGTTCCTCGATGCCCATCTGTATACCCAGCTGTGACAACGTCGCACAAAAGGCTAGGCGAGACCCTCAAAGTCAGAACCTGAATCACGGCTTCCTCACAAAACTGTTTGCAGTTTCCACGTGTCCTATTGTGAGTTTGTTTTGCCAAGAGGGGGTTGGGAGCGGATGAAATGCAGATCAAAAATCCTGTGCTCCAGATGGGGAGGGGCTCCTTCATCAGCATGTTCAACCGCAATACTGTGGATGGACGAAATCCTGCACCAGCTAGGAAGCCCCACAAGGATGGTTCCCCTGCACATGCCAACAAAGAATGGTTTCCATGGTTCCAGAGTGGTGCGGAATGGATTTCGTCCCTCAGTATGAACAAAGAGACAAACCGTGGGATACCTCGAGGCACCTCGAACCAGCCTGCAGCCTAGCTTCTTTTGCCAAAGGGCAACCCAAAACAGGGCTACAAGGCGCCAAAAAAAAGAAGCTTTTCCATTTGCTTCAGCCCCGGGAAAAATCCAGTGATGAGTTCCCTTTGAAACCAACTGGGTAAACTAAGAAACCATCTGAAGCAAAAGACCATTACGCCTGAGTTTGGCAGGGACAAGAAATGCGAAGTGTACCCCAGCACCCCAGGCACAAGCAAGTAGTCGCAACCAGTGGCCCTCCCGGTTGACCCTCGTCGCTTTTCACGCTCCCGGCAGCGCGAAAACAAGCTGCCGTTTTTCACGTCCGCTGCGACCCTCGGTTCTGAAGCGCATCCGAGGGGCGAAGCGCCACCAGAAAATCACATTCAGCAGGACCAGCACCAGTGCCAGGGATCCAATCACTGCGAGCCCTACCCTCGAAAAGCTCTCTGCCATGGCTCGATCTGATCGGGTCAAGAGGACCTGACTTGGAGTGACAGACGGAACCTTTCCCCGGCTTCCTTTTTTGTTGGCTTGTGCGCTCCTTCGGCTTTCCAAACTCAAGAGTTGCTGGCCTGAGCCTTTTTGCAAAAGGAAACGGGCATCCACGAAAAAGTGCGCACCCAACACCTGCACGATCAATATACATGGAACTTGAAAACTATTCCCTTCGGCCCCAAAATCACCAGCTTTTCCCATTTGGTGTTTGAGATATCATCTTTTTAGTGGTGTAAAGGACCTTTTGATCAACCCCCACATCTGCGAAACAAGATGATGCCCCTCCCATAAGGGGGAGGGGTTCCCCCCCAAAAATGGAACGTCAATGGAGATCTCCAGTCGAAAAGTCGCCCCCCAATTCCATGTTCGAGTCTTATGGGGGCCGAAAAATCGCGCCTTCAACTGGGGATCTGCCAAACACCGAGCCAATTCCCATGAAACGAAGCGCTTCGCCTGCTCCAACAGCTGGGAGGCGTGGGGCGTGGGCAGCTTCAGTAGCGCCTGAAGCCGATCCAATCCGCCGAGGCGAGCGGTAGGGTCTCGAAAAGGTGACCCCCAGGAGGTGTTTGATTCATTCACTTTTTTTTTGGGGGGGGGGCGGAGGGACTTAGGAAAAAAACAAGCAGCAACATGGACAGGGAACCAAGTTGTGAAGAGGTTTGTTGAGGGTACCAATTTTCTTTCGGGGGTCCTTTTCATGTTGGTGCTAGCGTGAGTGAACAGTCTTCAAGCAAAACAGCAACGAGAAAGACAAACACACCTGTCCACTTTCTCAGGATGAATGCGCTAGCCATGTAAACAGTGGGTGGCACGGAACGCTTCTGTCTCGCTTTTTCAGCAAAAGTCTGTCCAGGCCATTGCCTTGAAGTGCGCTATTGATTTGGAGCTCAGCTGTCTCATGCGGCGGATTCCTGAACTTCCGGGTCCGGAAGGATGATGACAGGTCGCAGGCATGGGTTGCGAATGCGCTTCATCCGCGGCCCGAAGTTCTGAGCGTTGGCGTCCCGACCTTGCACCACCGCCCGGCAGACCTTCAGCGGCAGGTCGCTCGACAGGCCGAGTCTCACGGAGTTGTGCCATTGCAGGGTGAACTCCTCTCAGATGCCCAGAGGTCACGGGGGAGAAAAAGGGCATCCTATTTTTTGTTGGTTCCGCCACATTGCTCAAGACCCCACCCCCCCAATTGGAGTGAGTGGAGCCCACATCCCGGAAGCCACAAATCAGTCTGTCCTTGTTTGGCTGCTTGGGGTCATTAGGGGAACGAACCCTTCCCCCCCCCCCACCAAAAAAAGAGTTGTTTTTTTCTCTTTCTTTAAAAAACAAAAAAAACTCTTCCCCCAAAAGCAAACAAAGAAAAGAACGTAAGGGGAACGAACCCTTCCCCCCACCCAAAAAAAAGCAAAGAAAAGAAAACACCCCCCCCCCCCAAAAAAAAAGAAAAAACAAGAAAAGAACGTAAGGGGAACCCTTCCCTTGCCCCCCCAAAAAAAAAGCAAAGAAAGGAACCAAAGGAAGCAAAGAAAAGAACGTAAGGGGAACCCTTCCCCCCCCCAAAAAAAAAGCAAAGAACAGAATGTAAGGGGAACCCTTCCCTTCCCCCCCCCCCTCCAAAAAAAAAGAACCCCCCCCCAAACAAAAAAATGCAAAGAAAGCAAAGAAAAGAACGTAAGGGGAACCCTTCCCCCCCAAAACAAAAAACTCAAAAAAAGAAAAGAAAAGAACATAAGGGGAACCCTTCCCCCCCAAAAAAAAAAGAACGTAAGCGGAACCCTCCCCCCCCCAAAAAAAAAGAAGAATAAGAAAGGAAATAAAGGAAAAAATCCACCCCCCCCCCCAAAAAAAAAAAATCAGAAAAAAGAAAAGAACGTAAAGGGAACCCTTCCCTTCCCCCCCCAAAAAAAAAAGCAATTAAAGGAAACAGCCCCCCCCCAAAAAAAAAGCAACGAAAAGAACGTAAGGAAAACCCCCCCCCCCGCAAAAAAAAAAGAAGAAAGAAACAATCCCACCAAACAAAAAAGAATAAACAAAGCAAAAAGCAAGGAAAAGAGTGAGTCCTTCATGGAGGCCACGTCCACGAGGTTTACAAAGGCATAGCCCAAGGACTTGTGATTCGTGAAGGTGCCGGGCATGTAAAAGAAGTCGTAGCGACCGGCGAAGCCCGACCTGTGCAGCTCCTCCAAGACCTGCGGCTGGAGCAAGGAGGTGGGGAGGTTCTTGATCCTGGGCTGTCCAAACTGAATAAAGAACTAGACTGGAAAATTAGCAATATATATATATATATATATATGTATTACTATTTTTGCCTGGTCAGTGGATAACAAAGGGACCCCAAAAGCAAAAACAAACAAAAAGGGGAGCTAATTCTGGTGAAGCTAAAAAGTGACTAACCTTTCGTGGATTAAATGGAAACTACGACTAAAAAGCCAATCAGCCTAAAAAGCTAAGGGGACTGGGGCCAAGGATCATCAGCGTGGTGATCCCTTCTTTGGCCAGCTCTTGCGCCAGGGTCTTGGCCGACTGGTCGCTGGGCTGCGCCGTCGCCGGCCCGGTGGGCCCGGTGCAGTCTGGGACCGGAACGGGCGTGTGCAGCCGGGATTTCAAGCGCTTTGCCAGCACGGAGAGCAGCCGGTCTTGCAGCTGGTCGTCCAAGGGCGGCAAGGGAGCATCCAGCAGAGCAATGCCCACCTCACCTTGCAAAGGGACCCAGAAGCAGTACGACTTGGAGTAGAGGTGGACGAGGTTGAGCAAGGCCTTGATGAGGGGCGTTCTCGTGCCAAGTTGCTGTAGAGCCTCACTGATGGCGCTCAAGCTGGCTCGCTTGCCGCCGCGGGCCAGGCGAGGAATCAGCTGCTTCACGTGGGTATCCAGCACCGTCATCTGCATGATGTCGACTCCACTTGGCAGAGGCTTGTGCCGCAGCATTGCCTTCCATTCGCTTCAGTCCACTGGACTTAAAATAAGCATTTTTCCAGTAGTGATAGATATACCCAACAGGGGAAGATGAAACATATTCTTAAGCAAATGCAATGCAAGCTGCCCCCATGCACTGTCCCCGCGCCAATTCCGGAGCCAACGAGCTCGCTGTGCTCCACTTGCGCTCCTGCCACTCCGGCGGCGGCTTCACGGTGAGCCCGGGGGCCGGGGGGGCCGGGGGCACCGGGGGCACCGGGGCCGCCGGAAGCGGAGGCTGCGGCTCCGAGGCTCTGCGCTCCTCGTGGCTGGAGGTGGACAACTCCTTGGAGTGGCTCAAGAAGTCCTCGCTGGCCGCGATGAGCTCCATCTGCTTCGCCACATCCCGCAGGTCGCGGCACAGCGACTTGTCGGAGCTGGCCTTGCCGGGCGAAGTGGGCTTCACCGACTTGTCTTGCACGCTCTGCGTCAAGCCTTTCAGGCGATCCGCAAATTGAGAAAAGATCTCCAAAAGCTTCTGGTGGTTCGGTGACTGAGCGAGTTGGGTGGGCAGCTCCTCCTCCTCCTCCTCCTCCTCATCCTTCGCAGCCGGCCTCTCATCCTCCTTGCGGCCATAACTGGACACTTGGTTGCTGTTGACCCCCCTGCAAAAAGTTTAACTTTTTGGGGATATAGTGGAAGCCCCACTTGATTTCAACCCAAGAGTTAAAGTCTAAAGATCCGTTGCCCAATAGCAGTCAAGTGGAGTCCTCCTCCAAGTCGGACTCGTCGATATCGCCGCCCTGCAGGAACATCGCCACGGAACTGGTCACGTCCCGCTCGAAGTCGGAGTCCTGCAAGCTGGCCTCGCTCTTGGTCTTCGGCGGATCCGTCAGACGCTCCAGCAGGCTCTGCTCGAGGCTGAGAGCCTCGGACCGCGTCTCCGGCGGCGCGTAAGTTGAGCTCTGGGCGCTCGCAGTGACCGCCGGAGGCGGGAGAGCGGCAGGCTGTTGCTGCCAAGCTTGAAACTGGTGAAACTCACCGCGGTCATGCCACTGCGACTCCCACATGTTCTGCGCCATCATCATCTCCTGTTGTACCGCCCACGGCTCCGAAGCCCTGCCACTTGCGTCTTGAGGCGAGGCTTGAGGCCCAGGCAGAAAATTGTTGGCACAGCCGTACGGCTGGCCCTGCCATTGACCATGGTCGAAGGCTAAGAAATTCATGGTCTGAGAAGCCAAATGCAGCAGGCACACCGCATACATCCCACCAAACATGCGCGCGCGCGCCAGCGGTGGCCCAGCCAAAAAAAATCGGATCTACTTTAGGCCTGGCCTCGGCGCGTTGAATGAGACTGGCTGCTCAGCTTGCCCCAAAAAGCATCCTGACATCTTACCGGAAACGACCCTAAACCAATATACATAAACCTGCAAAGCCGATGACAAGATAAGCACCTAGACCATCTGACTCTTCATACTTGGCCAGCCTGTCAACTTGCTTGCGCCAGCTGATTGACATGCAAGGCAAACTCTAAAAAAAACAAGCAACAACAACAAAAACAACTAACAAACTCTAATTGTCAAAAAACGCTCCAAACTCAAAGTAACCAGCAAGGCAGCTTGGCTGCCTCTGGTCGCTGCATTTCGCGCCTGGAAGGCCTCGTTGGTCAAACTCACCCCCGCCTCGCGGGCGAAAATCGCGCCCGACGGCTTCCATTGGACGGAAGAAATGAGAAGCGATATTTCCATCGGTGATAGATCCCCCTTAAAAACAAACAAGGGAAAATCCCCCTTAAAACCAACAAGGGAAAAGTCCCCCTTAAAACCAACAAGGGACAATTCCCCTTAAAACAAATAAGGGAAAGTTAACAAGAATCCTTGAGCAAATGGAAGACTGTCTTGAAGCCAACAAAGCTCGGTCTTTGATTGGGCAAAGGGTGACAAAACCAAAACATGCATGGACCGTGCAAGGTGTGCAATTAACGTGCCATGCCTCATCGTGAAAGCTGTTTTTTTTTCAGAAAATGCCAAACGATGCTTTTGCGCGTCTCAAGGCACTGTTTTCCATTTTTCACCCTTCTGGGTGAGACAAAATGAATGAAGGCAAAGCAGCCACTTTCCCCGCTTGCTCACGGCGACTTTCCCCGACCTGACGGCCACTTTCCCTGACAATGTGTCCAGCCACACTGGAAGCGTGAAACTTCAAATTCGACCAAAGGACTGATTTGTATGAGCAATTCACTGGATTTCCCCGATGGATGTTTCGGGTCCACAAACTGGAAACTGAGGAACTGCTTTGGGAAGCCGGGGTTCTGTGCGCGCTCTTTCAACAGACGATTCTTGGTTGCTGCTAACGCCGTTGAAAAAAAAAATACCCCTTCTTGTGGAATTCGGAAATCCCACCTGTTTCCACCAACAAATGTTCAAGTCAAAAAATCCGCTCCCAAATAAAGCCACAAAGTCAACGTGCCCAGAAGTCTGATCTTGAAAATGGGCCATAGGGTACCTCCGAGTTCTCTTGAGGAAAAACAGCACGTTGCGGAGTTCAGCTTTTTCACTTCCGATCGAACGGATTGTCAGAAAGAGTACCAAACTGGATCAAGCCAAAGAGTCCAAGCCCAAACTGGGGTTCCTCCATGTCCGTTTTCGGAGCCCCGCAACTTGGCAATAAAACCACCTGTAGATTGCACCTTGTGATTTGAGTGGAAATCCGGCGACGGCAAAAAAAATAGACCGCCTCAAGCCCCGAAGTCAGATCCTGAAAATGAGCCATGGGGTACCTCCTGCCTCAAGTCCGAACCGAACTCAGCGAGCCGAAGGCCGCACGCTATGCCCGGCCTCCTCGGCCTTCCTCATGCCCAAGCAGCTGGTCAAACGCTCCGCCAGGCCGCCGGCCTGGCGCGCGGCGTGCGGCGCGCGGCAGGACTGCCGCGCTTTGGTTGCGTTTTGGCGATGCTCCACGCGGCCATGGGTCAAAACCCCGGTTACCCCCCACTGAACATCTGTGGCACTGCCGTGCATGTCGCGAACCATCCGCAGGAATCCGATCAGCAACTCTGCCTCTCCGGGCGGCATGCCCTGAGAAATGGAACGAGCTGCATCGCCGGTGCCCAAAAGGGAACCCTGAAAAATGGAAACAAGGAGTAAAATCTGTGGTCCCCTGGTGCTTTAATTTTGACCCACTTTGGAAAGCCCCATGCTCTGGGTCCCGCACGTCCTGCTGGTTCTGCGCCCAAGCTTGTGCACCTCCGTTGGCCTCACCAAAAGGGACAAGTGGCCAAACCCATGCCAAGCCATGCCATGCCAACCCACACCAGCACGGTCTGCCTCTGGGACATAACCTCTGGCCACAGTCGCGCAGACCTGGGTTGGACGTCATTGAAAAACCATGAGCTTGGCCTGTTCAAAATTCAGGCTTGGCCAATCCCACTCCACAATGCCTAGTAGCAAACCACGAAGAGGCTAAAGGATAAACAAACAATCAGCCAAAAATGCAATCCACGTCACGGAAAGTTGGGCGTGACAAGCCAGCTGAGAAGCGAACGTAATTCGATGGGTTTTTGAGATGGCCGCTGTCAGCCTCGCAAGCAAGGACGCTCAGCATTCCTCACGCCAACGTGCATCCCACAGCAGCCTTTTGCTTGACCGTCTGCAAAAGCCTGAGCAAGCGCGAAACTGATGGCATTCCCCAACACTTCGCTCGTCTTGCATCTACCTTGCACCTTGACTGCGTGATGTTCATGCTCACTCGCAGCCACGGAACTCATAGGCGTGATTCTCTGGCAGGGACGACCTCAGAGTTTGTGCCGCTGGTTGCCAAATCAAGAAAACAGTTGCTGAGGCATCAGCAGAGCTTCTGTTGCTGATCCATCCAAACTGAGGCCCATCTCATAAATCCATGCCTTGGTTCAAGTCTCATCCAATCCCAATTCTGCAAGCGCATCACACTCACACACCCAAGCATGCACGCATGCATGTCTAGGAGACGCATGGAAGGACGCACGGGCGCGGAAGAACGGGCGAACGGATGCCCGCCCGGCAGCCCGCCCGCCCGCACGTGCGTGCCCCATGCATCTGCACGCTCGCACGCAGGCACACCCCGCCCAGCACAGTGCCCACTAGAAACAAATCGTTGTGTGCGCCTACGAAAGACGCGCATGGCCCTGATAACGCCGCAGGTGCTTGTTGGCCAGGAAAATGGGCATACTTTGTTTTTCTGAGAAAAGGGTGTGCAAGCTACCCGCGCACCTGCGTTCGGACGAACTTGAGAATTGATGAATGAAGACTGCCACATGGAAATCGCGTTTGGTTCCAGAGTCTTGTGAAGTTTCGCCATGCGGCGTTTGGTGCTGGCCACGCCTCACACGGGCCACCTGTGTGCACTTCAGCCATTCCTCAAAAGGAGGAGGTGTCGCCAAAGCATGGTGCTTTGCGCCTTGTCCCCCGAAAGAAACCTGCTGCGAGGCCAGCGTCCTCGCGCACCCGCGTGCGCTGGCAAGCTCACTTCCGGCGTTTTGCCTCCTTTCAAGCAAGCCAGCCCTGTGCAGCGCCGCGAGCGCGTCCATGATGATGTAAGACAGCAGCATGACGTGCCGACAGCATTGTGACGATGCCGGCAGCATCCTGATGATACCGGCAGCATCATGATGATACCGTACTCACGACTGACCACAGCCTGACCGCAGCACTAAACAAGCCCCTACACACGCAGCACCCTGCTCCGCCAAAGCGCGCGCACAGCAACAGCACTCTGACCAGCTTGACTGCAGCGCCGCGCAGCTCCAACAAGCACTCAAGCGCATTTTGTGTGACAGGCGGGTGGTCGCGGGTGGTCGGGGGGTGCCGTTTTGGATGCTCTGCAGTGGGGGTGAAGTTTGTACTGGCGCAGGCGCGAGTTTGTGAGGGCTGGTGACAGTTGTGCATTTTTGCGAGATTGACGGCCCAGAGCTGGTGCTGATTGAGGGTTTTGACAGGGCGGACGCATTTGTGCAAGATTGATGGCCGGGTGTTTGGGGCCACTGTTCGTCGAAGGTGGTTTAGCTGCCAAGGTCATCAACAATACACACAGGCGTGGGCAGCGTTGCTACTGACGATGCTCTTCGCCTTCGAAAGGCTCCGTCATGGCCGGCTAGGTCGTGTGGGCAGCGTGGTCACGTTTGCGCCGCATGGCACCCGGAAGCAAAGCACGCGCTGACTTTTGTTTGCTTCTGCTTGGGGCTGATTGAACGCGGCCGCGTTTTGCGAAATTGACGGGCGCTAGCGGCATGCAGTTTGGGGTGCTGGTGCTGCTGGTGACGGTGCAGGCGCATCTTGGCGCCATGGTGTCCGTGGCTGGATGGGATGCAGAAACAATCGCCGGTCACCGCCGCTGATTTCAGCGCACAACCGGTTGTTCTCGCAGGATTAATGCAACGATCGCGCGCGCCGCCGGCAACACCGTCTACGTGCCGCTCCACGCGGCAGCTCTCGCGATGGCCTAGCACCAGCCGGCCCCGCGAAACACTCATGCCCAAGCGCACGCCTGCGACGCCTCACACGCCGGGAGTCCAAACGGCAACGACACCGCCATTTGCGCTCCAATGCTTTCGGCGATGGGCAGCGGAAGCCGGGCCAACCACGCAAGCAACGGGCCAGGCTTGATGTCCAACGCCTCTGGGGGCGACGGGCCTGCCTGAGCCATGGGCAGGGGCTGCGCCGAGGAGCGCAGCAGAATAAATCATTTCTCTGGGGCCAGGAGAGCTGCATGCGTCCCAAGGCGGAGGATGAAAGGACGAAAGGACGAAAGGGCCACGGGACCACGGGACAAGAATACCAGCATTGAAGTTTCCAAGTCGTACTGCTTTGACCCGCAACAACAGCTGGGCCGGGCAACGCTGCTTGCAGCAGGGCGCCCTCAGCAGCCTTTGGCGCTGAGGCCTGGGCGGGCAGGGCCGGCAGAGACGTCACAAGTGGGGGGGCCTGCGATCTCGGCGGCAAGCGCTCTCCCAGACGCACTTGCAGCAATCATTCTTGGCTGCGGCAGGCACATAGTGCTTGGATACAAACAGGAAGCACACAACAACGTGTTGGCCATCAGCTTGGGCAAACTGCTGCTGCAACTCCAGGATCTCGCAAATCAAACGCAGAGGCACAGCCCCAAGCCGCGGGTGTGATTCCCAGCGGTGGGCAGCATCTTACAACAACAAGGCGATCAACAACCAGCTGTTCACTCCGGCAGCGGGCCGCTGGAGACGAGAACGTTGGCCAAGCGACGAGGCTGGCGGGGCTGCGACTCAGTAAGGAAACAGGCTCGCAAGCCGCCTGGGGCGAGATGTCCTGGAACAGCGGGTCGGAAAGTGCGAGCGACGGATTGCAACGCAAACCCAAAACCAAAAAAACACATACACACGCAAACACACACAAACGAACACACACACACACACACACACACACACACACACACACACACACACACACACACACACACACACACACACACACACACACACACACACACACACACACACACACACACACACACACATACACAAGCAAACACACACACACACACACACACACACACACACACACGCACACGCACGCACGCACGCACGCACACACACACACACACACACACACACACAAACAAACACACACACACACACACACACACACCCACCACCCACCCACCCACCCACACACACACCCACCCACCCACCCACCCACCCACCCACCCAC